TTCTTGAAGATTTCTGAACATTTTAAAAGATCTCGCGATTTTCTTGAGCATAATCTGATCGTCGCTGAAGTTTCTGCATTTTTTGCAGTTCTTTAAACTGCATTGAAAATCATGGAACTCCTTTAAAATGATCTCACATTTTCCTGATGCTCATGTAACATCTCTTATGTTTCTGACATTTAAATAAAGGTCTTGGACTTTGATGAAGTTTCGGAAATTCCGTGAGTTTCTTGGAACTTCTAAAACATTCTTCAATTTCCTTGAAATTAGTTGAACTGTTCTTAGTTTTTCTGATCAGTCCTTCTGCTCTTGAAGCATTTCTGAAGTACTCTCAAGTCTATTGAAGTTCTTGGTATTACCCGGAGCTAAATAGAACTGTAACAAAAAAAAATTCGAAGTTTTTCTGAAGTTTATGGAACTGACCGGAATTTATCGGACCTTACCCAAACAAATCTGCGAACTTCCCTGAAAGTCTAGAATTTCTTGAATTTCACGAAGTTATGAAGTTATTGGAAGTTCCGTCAATATCTCTGAAATTCCCTTAAGCTTTCTAGTCTAACTTTTTTGAAGTACTTGAATATTCTTTAAAATGTCAATTTTCCTCCACATCTCTGAAATTATTTTGACTTCTTTGAAGTTCTCTAGATATCCCTGAATTTCTCAAATTATCTTAAAAATTTCTGCAGTTTCTTGAAGTTTTTGGAACCACTTAGAAAATCCTGAAGTTCACCAAAATTTTTCAGAAGTTTTCGGAACTTCCCTTTTATTCCCGCAGTTTGCCTATAAAATTTCCTGAAATTCTCAGTACTTCTTTTCATTCCTCAGACTCTCCTGAAGATCTCTATTGTTTCCTGAAGTTTACGGATCTTCCCTTATGTTCTCGTCATGATGCCCTGGAATTGTTCAGAAATTAATGGAACTGCCCAGAAGATCTTTAAACTTACCTTAATGAACTTACAACATTCCCTGAAGTTTTTTTTTACTATCCTTAACATTTTCGGAACTTCTTGATGGTTTCCTCTATTTTACTGAAATAAATGGAACTGCCACAAAGTTCTAGAAACGAACTTAAAGTTTTAGGAACGTCCCTCAAGTTCTCACAGTTTTCCTAATATTCATGGAACTGACCTAACATTTTCAGAACTTACCCGAAGTACACATAACTTACTCATAGGACATTAAGCTTAAATTTCCCTGTATTTAATGGAACTACCCCGAAGCTCTTGATCTTCGCTGAAGTAAATTTTCCTGAAATCTATTAGGTTTCCCTGGAGCTGTCGAAACTTACTCTTAAAGATCTTTTAACTTCCTCACATTTCTTATCAATCAGAACTTCTTAAAGGTTTCAACATTTTTTGATACATTCACAAGCTAAAATATGTAATTTAGTAATCCAGATGGGCATTCGAAAATGCCTTTATGAATTTTGGTGCACAACTTTTATAAGAGGAGCATACGAAAATCGATATTTCGACAATTTTTACGAATTGACCACTTTTATGGATGTTCCGGATCGCCCAGAGGAGTAACGCTCGTAACCACCAGTGTGCGCATGCTGACCCCAGATTCAAATTCATTCATGTAGCATCACAAGTAATTTAATAAAAATCGCTGGGCTATTCGGATCTTCCGGAGAACCGTTTCTTGAGTACCTATAGTTGGATCTTAACGTTCGATCTTCAGTCTTTGTGGTCAATGTGATCAATTTCTGTTCGAAATTCGACGATAAGTTTAGCAACTATCAGTGCGAAAGCCGAAAACGTAAATTCACAATCGTGATAGCAACGACCAGTGCGTAAACAAGTTGTTAACTAAAATAGCAATGGCTAAAGTTGTCAAACTAGCAGCCCGAATAGCAACGCATTGGTGCGGGTGCTCTTAGTGTTCGCTAAACTTTAACGGTATTCTCAGAATGTGAAGTAGTGAATTTGATGGAATCTCAGAGTATAATTAAGAGACTCCAAGAATATACTTCAGAGAAACTCAAAATTAATACCAAAGAATCCAAAAATGAGGTTCAAGGAATAACACATTGAATTCCAGAAAATCCCAAAATGAGACTCAAAGACCTCTGGACCTTGGTGGTTCCAGATCCATGGAATAACGGAATCAGTATCGATGAATCTCGACGTGGGATAAAGATAATGCTAACAAAGAGTTTTGATATACAGACATTTTTCGTCATGTGATTCCAAGATTCTCAAAACGCAACTGAGAAAATTCCAACATGAGTTATAGCAACAATCAATACGAAACTAACGATTTTAAATTGGCTCACTACTTGACTAGCCTATTGGTTCCAAGAAAATCGACTAACGTACCCCATTCTAGTATAAATTCCAGCACTACACTATGTTTGAATTTCGATTAGAATGGGGTACGTTAATCGTTTGCTTGGGACCAATAGGCTAGTCAAGTAGTGAGCCAATTTAAAATCGTTAGTTTCGTATTGATTGTTGGTTATACTGCCATTATACGCATAACTGTCCCATGTTCTATGCAATTATTATGCACCGTGGGACTCTTATGCGTATAACGGCAGTATATTCCATACTTGCAGAAATTCAAAGAATCCCACAATTGAATTTGTAGAAGCCCAACGGAGAATATATCCCGATTATATCTTGAAAAATATCAGAATAAAATTCAGGAATTGTGTTAATATCAAGCTTCGGGAAGAATAGGGCGTCGTCTGGAGTGTAATGGTGCAATGACACCAGTTAAATTTAAAGCGACAGTACGGACAGACAGACATAACTCTCACAAGTTGTTCATTGAACAAGCATTTAACGGTAAATTTAAGTGTATCGTAGTGGGTAGTACCATAGAGGTAACTCTAAGACCAGAAGGTCCCGAAGAAACAAGCTCAACTTTTTGGTTCAGCTCTGGTACTATCTTCGGACCCAAGCCAATCGATTCACCCCTCGAAACATAGGAAAATCCACTAACCCCTCATTTGATCTGTCAAACTTTCATAGCTTGAGCTTGAGCTTGATTGACCGCCCACGGTTGCTACTCTGTTACTGCCAGATCAGCTGTAATTACTCAGAGAACCAATAGACGATGCTTGGGACTAGCAATCATCCTCAATGTGTAAAAACTGGTGATCTTAAATTAGGCAATACCAGCGCCGGCCGCGCCCGAACACAGGTCAAGAAAGGAATGGGAAGGATTGTGTTGACATGACACTCGCTTTGATGGAAGCCGAGAACACCTCTGCACTTCCACGAGGAATCACTGGGATGTTGGATAAGAGGGTTGGGTTTGCAGCAGGGTTCGTTTTGGTAAACGATAAGCTGAATTGATGTCCTAACGATCATATAACGCGAAGGAGTTGGGACTAAACCCACGGTCTTCTGCTCAGTAAGCAAAAACGTTTGCCACTAGGCAGACGAGCACCTATTTAATCACCGAGTTGCTGTTATTACCATGTAGTCATGCTAACAAATAAAACGATTGATGAATCTTGAATGTGGATGGGTCTGAGATTAGACTCATGATGTTCTGCTCAGTAAGCAAAAACGGTTGCTCTAAGGCCACCGAGCCCCTCATATCACATAATACCGTTGCTCAAATTTGTGTATCTATTCAAACCCGGAACCAACGACAACAACGAGTTTCGCAAAATACACGATACACAAGCGATTTTACCATAAATCTCTTTGATATGTAAGGACCTGGGACCGCGTTTTTCTGCTCTAAAAACTACGAAAAAGTACTTAGGCCTTCATTAAGTTCCACTTTCACGCGACGTTCAATGACAGGGTCCTATCCAGGATTACATCTGAAAAATCCAAATCTGGCCAACGCCCACCCTAAACCTAAACCTGTTCTAATCCACCTGAAATGACTAACGAATGGAAGACTTTGACTACCTCGCCATGCAATAGTCTCATTCCGTGCCTTATGGCAACTTGATGATTCTATTGCGCTCATCTTTTGGCACCACCCAGGGGAGACTTGGTCCTGTACCCAATGCTTAACTTATCTCCATTCCACTCAGCTACTCGCAATTTCTTGTGATATAGTGGGCGGAATATTATTATATGAGACAATTCAATGCAGACGTCTTTCCAAATTTGGTAGATCGACAGGTAATCGGTGAGTTACCACGATAGTTGCTATTCAACAACTCGACAACGTCCCATCGTCAACGACTGCTATGAGAATTTCCCATTGCAGACGCCAACGAAATGACGTCATCGAGCTATCGATCAACTACCCTGGTTATCGCCTGGTACCTTATAGCACGATGCTAGGAGGCGAACCGGAAGAATCGATGAGCTACCTCTCCCCCTTTGATCTGTCAAACTTTCATAGCGAATCAAAACAAACGACTAGAATGGGGAACGTTTATCGATTTGCTTGGGACCAATAGGAGGCTAGTCAAGTGTTGAGCCAATTTGAAATCGTTAGTTTCCACTGGTTGCTACCGCCATCTGTTCAGCATACTATCCACCACAGTGTATTCAACAGATGGCGTTAATATTTTAGTGACGATGTTTTACAGTGAGAAGTATTTAATTTGTTATGTCTGTTTGTCTGTGGTAAAGGGTAGCTTGGGGATCACTGAAATTTATCGATTGAATCGAACGTGGATAGTATTTCATAACCCGTCATCATACACCACAATAGTAGAGAAATCATCAAGTCCACCGTTCATTCATCTCTAATAAAGTCTCAAACGTAATGTGGGCGAAAGCGGAACGGAAACGGTAAGTTTGGCAGTTGTCGAAAATGACATCAAGATGTCTAACTAAAAACGATCTCATTCTTACCGAAGCTAAGTTCCGACAACTGGCTTCTTTTTGCTGTTCTTTGCAGTTTCTTCAACCACACACTGCTCAAAATTAAAAGAATCAGCGGCTGGATCAAAAACTTGATCCAAATCTAAGGTTGTCTTATCTTGTCTCAGGTTGCGACAAGTAGGTTTACTCAGATCGGGTTCCTCTGCTGCCACTTCCATTCCGCTTTCGCTGTTATTGCGTTCGGGTCTTAACTTTGAATGGTATCTTCCTTTATTTCCTTCCATTTGTTCAGCTTTTATCCGAATTGCAAAGTATAAATACATCCAATAATGCTATCACGGTTCACTTTCTCCTCTTTTCTCATTCTACTAATGATTCCATCTGGTTGTGTTGATTATTATTGTTTAGCTGGGAAGAGCACACTATGTAATGTTGTGAGATGCAGCCGGCCGTTTAGCTACACTGTTAAACACAAAGATCATTAAACAAACTAACTGGCTTGAGGTCAAATCAAATATGGTGGGTAATAAAACTTGTAAACATAACAGTCTAATGAAAGAAGCTAGCGAGGCTCTTAACTAAAGCCCCACAATGTATATAGGAATGTAAGGGTTGTATAATGGTCAAGCATCCGCTGTTATAATACTCTCTAGAGGCGATTCATTGTTGATTACAATACTCAGGGGGTAATTAAATAAGATCTATTGGTGAGATTAGTGCAATTTGTTTTGATATAATCGTTTTCGTGATGGGTATTTGATTATGTGTCAGAGTTTTGCTTTTCCAAATAATTGATTGATTTTGTTGTTTCTTCATTTGTTTGTGAATCATTCTTTTCGCATATATTGCCATAAAGATGAAAATGTTTTGAGGAAAGGGAAGAGCAGGGCTTGCGATAGGTTAGTTTGAAATACTTTATGTAAAAGTTCAATAATCACTGCAGTTTGGTAGGTTTTTTTTAACTTGGTGGTACTGTTGATAGTGCGATCTGAGAGTGTTGGCCACGGCGACTTCCGAACCAGCTCATCTTCCACGTCAGCGTATCCTGCAGGAGTTTCTCCTCTTCATACGACAAGTGCAGAAGAGTTGCCACGGCTTTGACAAGCTGACGCGCTTCCACCTGTCAAAACAAAACACTTAGTTATCATTGGTTGCTGAGATGACTCAAATAAACAGTTGCTAACCTCTCGACTAGTGAGAAATTTTATTATCACATGTTTTAAGTAGCGGAAATTTACTTCATCCATGACGATCGTCCCGCTGCTGTCATTGCCAAGGGCAACTTTCTGTGTTCCATTGTGATTGGCGTGGGGCTTACTGTTGCTATGGTTACTGCTACTATTACTATTACTACTAGCGTGGCTAATGGCACCATTTTGCTGTTTACATCCGACGCTTTCCTGTTTCTCCTTCGAATTGGATCGCTCGAAATGATGTTCGGAATGTTTCAAGTGTTGACCACCGCCGACGGTGGTGGCGCTGTTGTTATTATTTATCTCTTCTTGGAGGGTCTTTTTCATGTCGACTAGCCGTTGGTTTAGAATTTTTATGATCTAAAATCAATGACAAGTGAATGCATGCAATTGTAAAAGAATATTTGTGTGAGAAAACCTTGTTCTTATCTATTAATTCCGCATGTAAACTATCTAGGGAAGCCAGTTTAGCGTTTTGTTCGAGATTAGTGCTCATCAGTTCGTCGATCTGCTTGCGAAGCTCATTGACGGTGTTTAATCTGCAATATGATTAGCATTATCTAAAAGTCAAATCAAAAATTCTGAAAACATACTTTTTATCTAACTCCCTTTGCAAAAGAGCCGCTCGATCGTGCAAGTCTTGTGCCTCTTCTTGCTCCTGACGAAGTTCTTTTCGTAGAATTTCCTCTTTTTGAGAAATCTCTGCATTTTTCATGAGAATCGAAAGCTTCTCTTGCTTTTCCCTGCGAGAGAGAAATTGATTTTATGTAAGTATTTTTATCAGAAATTGTGCCAAACAAAAGTCATACATCGAAAGTTGACCATTCAGTTCGCGGACATTGTCCTCCAGTTGCAAAATTTGCGATTTATAGGAATTCATTGACCGGTCGGATCCATCCAGTGAATCCAGCAGCCTTTGCTCGGTTTCGGTGAGATTCGTTTTGATGCTATTCAGTTCCAGCTGCAATTGTTCCTGTGGTGAAGAAATTCCAAACCGTCAGATGAATGGCCTGCACGTGCGTTGTGAAACATTTCAACCCTTAGCCGAAATGTTTCAAATCGACTGTGATTGCAAATCTGACAGGTGAGATGTTGTTGACTTTGGGGTTGTATATGTATTTACAGGTGAAACAGCGGCGTCTTTTTTGTTTTCATTCATCGTTTATGGATAGATTTGAAAGCGAAGGTGAAAAAGATTGCACAAACCAACAAAACAGTGCAGGAAGTAAGGAAATGAAAATAAAACAAAAAGCTTAAAACATATGCGATATACTTTTATTTAGTTGTACTTGTTGTCATACTTTGATTTTGGTAACACGTGATGTAACTTAACATAATAAATTGTAAAATCAAAACGATTGTTAGTACAAAACAGAACCCATTTAGCTAAGGAACTATGTTTTCATGTGATGTCGATCCATCGATTAAGTACAGTTTCGTACAAGCGAAATGCAAAACTGAGGAGAAACAGGCTCAACCGAAGGCAAAACACTGATAAGGACAACCTAAATGTGCAACAAACCAGAACACACCATACTGATAAGGTAAATTAAGCGTTTCTCCAACTGAACTGGTTGGAACGTGTTAGTGGCCCCCTTTTCCAATGTTTCTTAAATTTGGACTACCTGTTTCGATTGCGATTGTTTGTGTGTGTGCGTGCGCGATAAAACTGCCATCGTGTCACTTGTTGTGTTTACTTACGAGTTTACAGCTCATGAACGTAACTTCCTCTTCGTGCTGCTCGCGAGCTTCCCGCAGAGCGGAGTTAAGTTCGTCTATTTCTTCGCTCATTAGCGTTATCTAGAATGTCAAGAAAGCTGCCTTACACATCGTGGTCAATTACACGTGGTTTTTGAGTAAAATACCTTATTATCCCTTTGGGTGACTTCGTTCCTGGTCTTTTCGAGCTCAAACCCAAGCTGTTTGACTTTTTCATTGAGATCATCCTTCAACTTGAGAGCGTTGTGCCTTTCGCGGGTTTCCTCGGCAACCTGTCGGGACAGTCGGTTAACTTGAGTTTCGAGGGCAAGATTTTGACCACTCCATCTACTCTTGATGTCCGACAGGTGCAGATGAGCTTCCTCCAAACGCTGTTCGAGTAACCTTCGTTCCTGCAACAGCGTATGAATCTTCTCGTCTGTATTACCGGACGTGAGCGAAGCACGGCTCTCCTCCAGAACCTGTATGCGGCTCTTAAGGTGACGGTTCTCCTCCTCGACAGCAGCCAGTGTCGATCGGAGGTTGTTCTTCTCGATACTGGTGGAGTGCCGAATGTTTTCAAGCTCGTCCTAAAACAACAAATGGATAATATAAACTCTGTCTATCTGTCAATTCTGTCAACTCTGTCAAACCTGCAAATCCTCGATCATAGGCTCGATTCCACGCACTCGACCTAGCTCCTGTTTCAGACCCTCCACCTGTTGTTCGGCCGCCTTCTGATGCGATATCCGATCGACCGCTTCCTGTTCCCTGAACAGTAGCATACTTTTCAGTTTTGAGATCTCCTGCTGCTGCAGGTTCTGTATCTTATCCTGTTCCTCACATAGCAAGTCCTTCTGAACCTGCGCCACCTTCAACGATTCTTCCAACAGCTTGTATGCCTCTTCCAGTCTCAGCTTTTCTTCCTCGAGCACCCGAGTCTGATCCCGCAGTTCATTGCACTGACCGGCCAACTCCTGCAGCTGAATCCTCGTGGCACTGAGTTCCGCATCTTTCTGCTCCAGCAGACTCAGCTCATCCATCGATGCCATACTGGTCAACGATTCTCCTCGACTCCTCTGGTGCCGCTGACCTATAGCCGACATTCCCGATTGCGTGCTTCTCGATGGCAGTGATGTAACATCGCTTCCGGTCTCCTCTTTAATCTTATTCTTCAACGAAGCGAACATGATCGCTTCCACTCTCGGAAACTCCTCCCCAGCCAAAGAAAAAGCAGAATGCAAGCCTCCGCCTCTTTCTCTTCTTACTATTGTTTAATTGGTCGCCAAATTGCCACTGCATTCGATCGATCGACGATTGTTGCAAAACATGTTCGGCTCATTCGAGAAAACAACCTTCAATGAAACTCTTTATTCAGCAATCAGCTTGTAGAACTCTTCTAGGATCGACTCGTTCGATCCGAACCCGCTAACGAACTGCGTTTGGAGCAGGTCTTTGATAATTTTAAAACTATAGAACCATTATAAATTCTAGTTTCCCGATAAGAACAACTTGTTTACGGTCACACTTGATCGTGTTGAATTTTTTTCTTCTCTCTGATTCACACAAGGGAAAATGAAAGGAACTCTTTTTTTTTGTCAATTCATTCACCAAAAAGACGATACGAAAATCTACGGAATGGCACAGGAATTTCCACTGTTATCACTAACCGACGGCACAAATGACTAGAACGAGAGGGAATGTAGTTGCTTAAACAATAAACTGTGCTTATTTTCCGGTTTTGTACACTGATATTTTGCGAAAATGTAAATACATAACTTTTCGTCGGCTTAAACGTAGAAGAACACGACCGATCTGTGATGATTTTTTTTTTCGTGGATGAAAAGTTGATTTTTGACGTTTACCGTTCGGAGGGAGTTGACAGTTCACTAATATGCCGAACGGTTATAGGCGGCGGGGGTGGAATGTTTTGACGGACGGTGAAACATTGCGTGTGAAATATTTCAATTGAATTTTGTAGTTGATGCATTCGGGCTTAGATGGCCGTCTTTGCAGTTCTAATAGGAAATGGGTTGATTAGTTGGATTCTGGTACGTGCTATTGTTACGGGATGTGAACTTATGTTGCGCTTATCGCCAAAAATCAGGTCTGAAGTGTCGTGACTGGACCGAGGTTTCCAGCCTCGGCCACGGCTACACGAATCAATGGTGCAGCCCCCTCGGCTGCTGCTGCTTCCAATCCTGCTGCTATTGATGCTGCTGTTATACTTATGCTAGTCGGTCTTCTCCAAAAGAATGCCGTCAACGAGTAGTAGTAGTAGTAATGTAGTAAAATTATGTTTATTTCTGTTGATTCTTATAGTACATTGATTTAACATTTTAATTGATCAGCCTACCTGGCTCTTCATCTTTGTGTCAGTTGATCTCGCATTTAATATTCTTATTTAATACTAGCTGAGAGTGCCCGGCCTTGCTCGGGATTCAATATTAGCTTGAGTTTATGCGCCAATTAAAAAAAGCATGCTATATTGTACGTAGCCCCCTCCCCTTTATCTAAGGGGCTACTCCCTATGACCGCCACATGCCAGATTTGGTTCCATTTGCTTGATTAGTTCTCGAGTTATGCAGAAATTTCTGTTTCATTTGTATGGGAGCCCCTCTTTACAGAGGAGGGAGGGGTCTCGAACCATCATAAGAACCTTTCCCTGCCCCAAAAACCCCTGCATACACATTTTCGCTCACGCCGATCTGTTCAGTAGACAGACAGACAGACAGACAGACAGACAGACAGACAGACAGACAGACAGACAGACAGACAGACAGACAGACAGACAGACAGACAGACAGACAGACAGACAGACAGACAGACAGACAGACAGACAGACAGACAGACAGACAGACAGACAGACAGACAGACAGACAGACAGACAGACAGACAGACAGACAGACAGACAGACAGACAGACAGACAGACAGACAGACAGACAGACAGACAGACAGACAGACAGACAGACAGACAGACAGACAGACAGACAGACAGACAGACAGACAGACAGACAGACAGACAGACAGACAGACAGACAGACAGACAGACAGACAGACAGACAGACAGACAGACAGACAGACAGACAGACAGACAGACAGACAGACAGACAGACAGACAGACAGACAGACAGACAGACAGACAGACAGACAGACAGACAGACAGACAGACAGACAGACAGACAGACAGACAGACAGACAGACAGACAGACAGACAGACAGACAGACAGACAGACAGACAGACAGACAGACAGACAGACAGACAGACAGACAGACAGACAGACAGACAGACAGACAGACAGACAGACAGACAGACAGACAGACAGACAGACAGACAGACAGACAGACAGACAGACAGACAGACAGACAGACAGACAGACAGACAGACAGACAGACAGACAGACAGACAGACAGACAGACAGACAGACAGACAGACAGACAGACAGACAGACAGACAGACAGACAGACAGACAGACAGACAGACAGACAGACAGACAGACAGACAGACAGACAGACAGACAGACAGACAGACAGACAGACAGACAGACAGACAGACAGACAGACAGACAGACAGACAGACAGACAGACAGACAGACAGACAGACAGACAGACAGACAGACAGACAGACAGACAGACAGACAGACAGACAGACAGACAGACAGACAGACAGACAGACAGACAGACAGACAGACAGACAGACAGACAGACAGACAGACAGACAGACAGACAGACAGACAGACAGACAGACAGACAGACAGACAGACAGACAGACAGACAGACAGACAGACAGACAGACAGACAGACAGACAGACAGACAGACAGACAGACAGACAGACAGACAGACAGACAGACAGACAGACAGACAGACAGACAGACAGACAGACAGACAGACAGACAGACAGACAGACAGACAGACAGACAGACAGACAGACAGACAGACAGACAGACAGACAGACAGACAGACAGACAGACAGACAGACAGACAGACAGACAGACAGACAGACAGACAGACAGACAGACAGACAGACAGACAGACAGACAGACAGACAGACAGACAGACAGACAGACAGACAGACAGACAGACAGACAGACAGACAGACAGACAGACAGACAGACAGACAGACAGACAGACAGACAGACAGACAGACAGACAGACAGACAGACAGACAGACAGACAGACAGACAGACAGACAGACAGACAGACAGACAGACAGACAGACAGACAGACAGACAGACAGACAGACAGACAGACAGACAGACAGACAGACAGACAGACAGACAGACAGACAGACAGACAGACAGACAGACAGACAGACAGACAGACAGACAGACAGACAGACAGACAGACAGACAGACAGACAGACAGACAGACAGACAGACAGACAGACAGACAGACAGACAGACAGACAGACAGACAGACAGACAGACAGACAGACAGACAGACAGACAGACAGACAGACAGACAGACAGACAGACAGACAGACAGACAGACAGACAGACAGACAGACAGACAGACAGACAGACAGACAGACAGACAGACAGACAGACAGACAGACAGACAGACAGACAGACAGACAGACAGACAGACAGACAGACAGACAGACAGACAGACAGACAGACAGACAGACAGACAGACAGACAGACAGACAGACAGACAGACAGACAGACAGACAGACAGACAGACAGACAGACAGACAGACAGACAGACAGACAGACAGACAGACAGACAGACAGACAGACAGACAGACAGACAGACAGACAGACAGACAGACAGACAGACAGACAGACAGACAGACAGACAGACAGACAGACAGACAGACAGACAGACAGACAGACAGACAGACAGACAGACAGACAGACAGACAGACAGACAGACAGACAGACAGACAGACAGACAGACAGACAGACAGACAGACAGACAGACAGACAGACAGACAGACAGACAGACAGACAGACAGACAGACAGACAGACAGACAGACAGACAGACAGACAGACAGACAGACAGACAGACAGACAGACAGACAGACAGACAGACAGACAGACAGACAGACAGACAGACAGACAGACAGACAGACAGACAGACAGACAGACAGACAGACAGACAGACAGACAGACAGACAGACAGACAGACAGACAGACAGACAGACAGACAGACAGACAGACAGACAGACAGACAGACAGACAGACAGACAGACAGACAGACAGACAGACAGACAGACAGACAGACAGACAGACAGACAGACAGACAGACAGACAGACAGACAGACAGACAGACAGACAGACAGACAGACAGACAGACAGACAGACAGACAGACAGACAGACAGACAGACAGACAGACAGAACACGAACGAACGAAAGTTCACTCCCACCCTAGAAACAACATCCTCGAAACAGTTCTGATCGACTCAGAACTACGCAACCTCGAAGAGATCACCCAAGCCTATCGTATCGCAGATTGTGATGTCTTCTACCATCACCCAATTACACACGTTTGAGCTTATCAAGTTCACGTTCCTTTGCAGATGTAATACCTTCCACAAGGTACCACCAATCAAAACCCATGGCCATATCATATCTGTCATACCTCGGAAATGGCGCACGATCCAGATAAACTTCGCATCTGCAGTTCAACTGTACCCTGTGGTTGTTTTTGTTCAGCTGCACGCCCATGGGATTTTGCCAAACAGCTAATTACATAGTGTCGTCATGCGTCATGCACTTTCGAGATTTAGCCAGTCATCGCACCGGATTCTTTTGAGACGAACTAGTGCAACAGAAGAGTGCAGATTGGATCGTTGATGGGATGTACTCATGGAATAGATTGTTATTGCATTTTTGATTGCATTGATCTGTTCCTATAAATCTTATACTGTTTCGCTAAGGCTATCGTCAAGAACTGATGGAGTATTTGGGGTTAATACGTATCGACATCCCCGAATAAGTACTGGGACTTGTATGGACATCCCTATAAACTCCTGTGGATTCCCCATCGAAGTCCATACCAATTGAAACCAATGACCGGCAAGGATACCTAACGTTGGAGAAAACTATAAAATTTTCATCCCGGAAGACCCTTGGCAAGACCGGGATTCAAACCTGGCCGAATTACAAAACCCATCACCCACATCCCCTATGATGTGTTTTTTTTCTATATCGTTCATTCTGCATAACAACCTTGTAAAACAAAACAAAAATCCTCCGCAGCTGACACAATAATTGTCATCGTTCAAAGGATTTTTGTCCATTCAGTTAGCCTAACGCATTCGCACCGTACCGTCGTACTGGACGATCTTACAGGCATTTGACCAACCGTTGCTGGAGGGAACCCATTTTGGCCATCTTGACTGTCGTATCAACCCTCTCGACCGACCATGGTTTGGAAGAACTCTGTTGGCGTGAAGCTATTCTGGACGAAACCACGAGCCGCTGGGATTTTATTAGTTAACTTAGTTTCATGGTGCAGACTGGTGCAGCAATACTCACAGCATTTTCCTAACCGGAATCCGAACCCAATGTGAAGCCCAATGGAGTAAACAAAGAAGTCAACCTTAGCAACGATTGGCAAAACGTGAACTCTCGACAGTGATGCTGTTTTATATTATGTTGATTTGTATCCTACTTGTCAACGTTTGTCCTAAAGTGCCGAATAGTGTGCCATGCTGTGTTTCGGCACAGTGTGCAGAGTTGATTACCCCTTGGCATGAACATTTTTTCGAGATCTCGCATATCTGAGAAACTAGTATAGGATTGTTCAAAATAATCAATTTTTCATACATTTTCAGAACTTCTAACAATGTCACTGAAGCAGTCGACACATTCAAGTTTGTGCGCCCCACAAAC